TTCAAACCAGTTTCCTCTGTTCTCTAAGGAAAAGGGTTTTTTTTCATTTCTAAATTCCTGGAAAATTCCTAAATCTGGGATTTTTGTGACGATTTTTTCACCTGCAGCATCGCTTCACACCTGGAGCCAAAAACCAAAACTCCAACCCCAAAACTGACAATAAAAACTTTATCCTGGCAGGAAAAAAGGACAAATTCCAGGATTTTATCCTGATTTCCACTCCTCCCTAAGGATGAGGGGTTTTTGGGTTCTAAACTCCTGGAAAATTCCTAAATCTAGAATTTTTGTGACGATTTTTTCACCTGCAGAATCGCTTCACACCTGGAGCCAAACACCAAACTCCAACCCCAAAACTGACAATAAAAACTTCATCCTGGCAAGATAAAAGGGCAGATCCCAGGATTTCAAACCAGTTTCTCTGTTCCCTAGGGATCAGGGTTTTTTTCCTTTTTAAATTCCTGGAAAATTCCTAAATCTGGCATTTCTGTGACGACTTTCTCACCTCGTCCCTTACCTGTGGAATCGCTTCACACCTGGAGCCAAAGACCAAAACTCCAACCCCAAAACTGACACTGAAACCTTCATCCAGGCAGGAAAAAAGGACAAATTCCAGGATTTTATCCTGATTTCCACTCCTCCCTAAGGATGAGTTTTTGGGTTCTAAACTCCTGGAAAATTCCTAAATCTGGGATTTCTGTGACGACTTTCTCACCTTCAGAATTAATTCACACCTGGAGCCAAACACCAAAACTCCAACCCCAAAACTGACAATAAACCCTTCACCCAGGCAGGAAAAAAGGACAAATTCCAGGATTTTAACCTTATTTCCTCTCCTCCCTAAGGATGAGGGTTTTTTTCCTTTCTAAATTTCCTGGAAAAATCCTAAATCTGGGATTTTTGTGACCATTTTTTCACCTGCAGAATCGCTTCACACCTGGAGCCAAAAACCAAAACTCCAACCCCAAAACTGACACTGAAAACTTCATCCAGGCAGGAAAAAAGGACAGATCCCAGGATTTGAACCCAGTTTCCTCTCCTCCCTAAGGATGAGGGGTTTTGGGTTCTAAATTCCTGGAAAATTCCTAAATTTGGGATTTTTGTGATGATTTTCTTCAGAATTAATTCACACCCTGACCCAAACACCAAACTCCAACCCCAAAACTGACACTGAAAACTTTATCCAGGCAGGAAAAAAGGACAAATTCCAGGATTTCAAACCAGTTTCCTCTGTTCTCTAAGGAAAAGGGTTTTTTTCCTTTCTAAATTCCGGGAAAATTCCTAAATCTGAGATTTCTGTGACGATTTTTTCACCTGCAGAATCGCTTCACACCTGGAGCCAAAAACCAAAACTCCAACCCCAAAACTGACACTGAAAACTTCATCCAGGCAGGATAAAAGGGCAAATTCCAGGATTTTATCCTGATTTCCTCTCCTCCCTAAGAATGAGGGTTTTTGGGTTCTAAACTCCTGGAAAAATCTTAAATCTGGGATTTTTGTGATGATTTTTTCACCTGCAGAATCGCTTCACACCTGGAGCCAAAAACCAAAACTCCAACCCCAAAACTGACAATAAAAACTTTATCCTGGCAGGAAAAAAGAGCAGATTCCAGGATTTCACCCTGGCTTCCTCTGTTCCCTAAGGATGAGGGTTTTTTTGTTTCTAAACTCCTGGAAAAATCCTAAATCTGAGATTTCTGTGACGGTTTTTTCACCTGCAGAATCGCTTCACACCTGGAGCCAAAACCCAAAACTCCAACCCCAAAACTGACACTGAAACCTTCATCCATACAGGAAAAAAGGACAAATTCCAGGATTTTATCCTGATTTCCTCTCCTCCCTAAGAATGAGGGTTTTTGGGTTCTAAACACCTAGAAAATTCCTAAATCTAGAATTTTTGTGACGATTTTTTCACCTGCAGAATCGCTTCACACCTGGAGCCAAAAACCAAAACTCCAACCCCAAAACTGACACTGAAACCTTCATCCAGGCAGGAAAAAAGGACAAATTCCAGGATTTCAAACCAGTTTCCTCTGCTCCCTAAGGATAAAGGGTGTTTTTGTTCCTAAACTCCTGGAAAATTCCTAAATCTAGAATTTTTGTGACGATTTTTTCACCTGCAGAATCGCTTCACACCTGGAGCCAAACACCAAAACTCCAACCCCAAAACTGACAATAAAAACTTCATCCAGGCAGGAAAAAAGGACAAATCCCAGGATTTTAACCTGATTTCCACTCCTCCCTAAGAATGAGGGTTTTTGGGTTCTAAACTCCTGGAAAAATCTTAAATCTGGGATTTTTGTGACGATTTTTTCACCTGCAGCATCGCTTCACACCTGGAGCCAAAAACCAAAATTCCAACCCCAAAACTGACAATAAAACCTTTATCCAAGCAGGAAAAAAGGGCAGATTCCAGGATTTCAAACCACTTTCCTCTGCTCCCTAAGGAAAAGGGTTTTTTTCCTTTCTAAATTCCTGGAAAATTCCTAAATCTGAGATTTCTGTGACGGTTTTTTCACCTGCAGAATCGCTTCACACCTGGAGCCAAAAACCAAAACTCCAACCCCAAAACTGACACTGAAACCTTCATCCAGGCATTATAAAAGAGCAGATGCCAGGATTTGAACCCAGTTTCCTCTGCTCCCTAAGGATGAGTTTTTGGGCTCTAAATTCCGGGAAAATTCCTAAATCTGGAATTTTTGTGACGATTTTTTCACCTGCAGAATCGCTTCACACCTGGAGCCAAACACCAAAACTCCAACCCCAAAATTGACACTGAAAACTTCACCCAGGCAGGATAAAAGGGCAAATTCCAGGATTTTATCCTGATTTCCTCTCCTCCCTAAGGATGAGGGTTTTTTTCCTTTCTAAATTTCCTGGAAAAATCCTAAATCTGGGATTTTTGTGACGATTTTTTCATCTGCAGCATCGCTTCACACCTGGAGCCAAAAACCAAAACTCCAACCCCAAAACTGACAATAAAAACTTCCTCCAGGCATTATAAAAGGGCAGATCCCAGGATTTGAACCCAGTTTCCTCTGCTCCCTAAGGATGAGTTTTTGGGCTCTAAATTCCGGGAAAATTCCTAAATCTGAGATTTCTGTGACGGTTTTTTCACCTGCAGCATCGCTTCACACCTGGAGCCAAACACCAAAACTCCAACCCCAAAACTGACAATAAAACCTTTATCCAGGCAGGAAAAAAGGACAAATTCCAGGATTTTATCCTGATTTCCACTCCTCCCTAAGGATGAGTTTTTGGGTTCTAAACTCCTGGAAAAATCCTAAATCTGGGATTT